CATTTCACAGGAGGTTACTGGCAGTAGCTGTAAATTTAATGTGAAAAAAAAGGGACATAAAGCCAACGTTCATGTTGAACACCGAGTATGACCCCTAGGAATGCAACACGGGGGCAGAATTCTGAGACCAAGAGATGATACCCAAAATCAGGTCGTTTCTTTTTTCTATTTACTTTGACCACTTTGCCTTTCTAATTTAATAGCAATGGTCGCAGAGCATAGAATACAGTTGCACCAGTGAAGAGCACTGTATGAACGGGTACCATACATTAAAACAAATTGCCTTCTCCCAAGATCTCAGACGCTTCGGTCTGGGAACACCAGCTCTGAATAAACTTGACTCAGGAAGTATATCCTAACGCCAGGCAATTCGTGAACATCCCTCCCCACTGCTTCAAGTAAATGCCTGGCACCTCACGCTGAGGGCAGGACTGAAGAGTGCCCACATTGCCCTCCCAGATGGGGCTTTGCTGAAAATGTTTGTAGTTAGTCCAAACAGACACCGGTTTGGTAGGTGTTTTCAGCCATTTTCCATGCCTTCCAGATTACGGGCAGTCAATGCAATCAAAACCGACCAATCAGTCCCCAAAAAAATTGTTTGAAGGTTTCCTACCAGCTCCTACCCCAGCTTCTGCCTGACCTGGGACAGGGGTGCAGAGTCTGTGCAGGGCAATGATTTTGTAACCTGGGACCCTACTGAAAGGATATAATGGGTGAGAGCTAGAACGATACCCTCCCCCATGCACGGAATCACATCGCTTCAACTGAAGGACAACCACATGAATACCAATGAAATGCTCACCCCATCGCTGCCAGGCCATTAGGGGATCGCCCTCACCAGTGCATGGAGAGCAGGGCGCTGGAGGATGTGAGTGCAACTGCATTATTGTGCTTTTATGCCCGTGTGCTCCTATGAGGGTAGCGTCAGGGTGCATGGCAGATGATGTGGCCCTGTGCAGTGATGGTGAGGGTAGCGTGGCAGATGATGTGGCCCTGTGCAGTGATGAAGTACTCCTTGTACTCGTGATTTTTCCCTTCTGCTGCCCTCTTGCCCCTGGACAGCCTCGGGCCCCGCAGCACTGCACCCTCCTAGAGCAGAATCTGCTTTATGAGTACCTCAGCCCATGGCACAGTGACATAGATGTCCCGAAGCCAGCGTAAATTAAGACTGACATCTCAGCTGGGCTTGACCTGCAGTGCTGTGACATCTTTGGAGGTGTCTCGGTCACAAAATAGCGTTGATTTGTGAAGTGACTCTGAGCCATGAACTTGTAACAAACAGCAGCAGGTTTACCAGCTGAAGCACAGTTTTGCAACAGGAGTCCAGTCCAAGAAAATAAAAAAGTCAAACTACTCATGGAAAAGGCAGATCCCTAATTTAACTTGTTTTCTAATCAAGAGATTCAAAACAAAGAAAAAAAAAAGTAGTTATGAATTGGCATCACCCATGTAATCAGTGAACTTTGCTAAGACCTTAGAAACAAGGATCATGAAAGAATGAACCAGGCACTTCAAGTCTAATCCAAGCTTTCACAGCACTGGAAGTCCTGTCAGGGCTTTTGAGCAGCCATACTTCACTGTCCTTCCCAGAAGGCTGCTGCTCTTCCAGGTAAGCGCACACAAAAGACGATGCCTAAGCTGAGCAGGGAGAGTTACGAGGAAGGAGTGGCATGGAAAGGACAGGAGCAAAGCAAGAGCAATGCACAGACTCACGGGCTTTTCCTGATCGACCCAGAGTGCTCACGTGCCAGACGCTCCGTATTGCTGGAAATGCACATTGCTGATCTCTCGGCTCAGAGGGAAGAGCAGGATTTCAGAGCAGGAGAGCATGAAGTCTGTCCCCGTTACTGCAGGGAAGCTGAAAGCCCATTATGTGCAGCACGATGCCAGCCACGCACTTTCTAGGCAGCCACAGCTGTATTACAGCAGCACAGGCAAAGCTTTCTGGGGCAAGCAGTTAGGGTATTTGACTACAAGAGATATTTAAATCACCGATGCCCAAGGTCACTGGCCCTGTTGTCACACAGTAAAGTATAATATACAGTCCCCTTGTACATCACCTAATAGTGCAATCTCTGCTAAACCCTACATTTGAAGTTGCTTCGCGTTCAGATCTGCCATTCTTGCAGATAAAACAGAAGGATCTTTGAAGCACGAATTAACTTGAAAGCCATACTCAACAACTGCACAGCAAGACGATCTTCAGCTTTAATGTATTTCAGCGCAGAAATGAAAATGTGGGTTATAAAAACAATTCACTCATGAGGCATCTGTACTTATAGGAAGTGAAATACAACTATTTGTGCCCAACGTCCTACCATCTGCGCCAAGCCTATTGATAAACCTTTCCTGACAGGATGAAATACTGTAAAGGCATCCTTAACATAATATGCCTCTACAGCATTGGGCTGGACTAGGTTTGAAAAACAGCCTTTTATAATACACAGATGAATTTAGCACTTAAGAAGATTAATGGATTCATAAATAGCCTGGAAATCCAAACTCGTTGAATTTAGTTCACGGAACAGGTCAAATAGGCATTTATCAAACCATCTGGCATCTTTCGTCCCTGGGGAAAAAAAAAGTGGTCGAGCTATGGACAGCTGGGGAGCCATCGCAACAGGGAGGGTTTGGTTTCCTCTGTACTCAGCTTTCCTCTAGAAATCACTGGTGCTAATTAGAAAGCAGTAGATCTTTTTGAACAGAGCGCTGCGGACTGCAGAAAGCAGGCTGCCCCGAGGCATGTGTCTTGAAGCCGCTGGAGACGCCGCCTTTTTGCTGGCAAAATGCGCAGGCAGAAAAAGCAGCTTCCCTGTTTCATGCAGCAGCTGCTCTGGCAGTTCAGGAGCGCACAGTCATTTTGCACGTGAGCTGATGTTGGCTCTCTCTGGAGCTGTTTACCCTACGGGCTGTGGGACCGTCCGTGGGGCTGTTCATAGACGTGCCGGGGTGCCAGGCGTGCTTGAGGCCGAGGGCATTATCTCTCACTCACGGCTGGCCTGGCCTGGCCGGTGTGAACAGACCCAACCCAAAGCACCTTTGCTGAAGCGTTGAGCCCTTTTTGAAAAAGTTTATTTATTTCTCCAGTTCTCCTGGACAATCACGGATGTAAGAGGGCACAGGAGCTGCTAAGAAAAGGTCTTCATGCATGAATTCGTACATTACCCACCATTTTTCAGCTGTTCTATGCCCAAAGTCCATCTTCAGCTGGCCCGTCCTTTGCATAACGTTTTTGGGTACTCACTGGTGTGTGACTGGGGGAAGAGGCAGAGGCAAGGACAGCTACTCACAGTTGGTTTTAGCCAACGTGTTGTCCATACTGAACCACCACCTTAGCAAAGCGTGAGCCAGGGCGGCTCCCCCTCTGCCACTGCTGCTCCAGCACCCGCAGGGACCGAGCCGGGGCAGGGGTGGAGTTCAAGTTTGTGTTGAATTGCTCATGAAAAGGCAGGGGTTGGGGGGGAAAAAAAAGTTTAGGAAAATGTTTGAAAGGTTTTTTTAATTCATTTCCATTGTTATTCCTATTTCATGACATTTTAGCAGTAATAAAGGATTGTGTAAGTTGTACCATTTCATATGAACATGCACATCATAGTATGATAAGCCATGTATAATGATTTAATATAGTTAAAATATCACAGAAGTGTATTTCTCTATAGTCACTTATTTTTCAAAGCATTGCTACTTAACACAAATGTAAGCACGGTCATGCTCTAAGTTAAAGTGTCTATTCTTTATGCTGCAATAAATAGCTTGCCATTTGCTCTAGACTGTAAAAAGGGCATTCATGTGCACCCATTTGAGCCGACAAAAACACCAGAGCAATTCAAGGATCTCAAAAAAATATGGGGTTTGAGCAGTTAAATTATTTTTGTGAGCAAAATATCAAATTATTTTATTAATGTGCTCTGATACATGAAACATCATAATTCTTTCTGGTCATATTAGCAGCTTTCATTGAAGATGTCAAAGATAAAACATGTAAGATGCCATATAGAAGAAAATGACAGCATAGTTGGTTAGTACGGCATAATATGACACGCTAGGTGGTACACAGTGGTGTGGTGGAAATACAAAATATTTAGTAGGGCCTGGTTGCATTTGTCATCACCATGTTCTGCCCCTGCTGTCATGCCATGAAATAATCTACAAATAAAAACAATGTATTCCTTGAAACTATATATTCATTGACAAATAAAAACACATTGAAATGACGTTAAAAAGTAAGCTGCTAAGCTTAAATAGCTTTGCCTCAGAGAAGAGTGTTTTAACAAACGTGGGTCTGTCTGGTTCTCCTGCACCTGTGCCAGGATAGCAGGGGGAGAAAGGATCAAAATCCTGTCTGTAGTCATGGCCAAAACACTGTGCCCATCCCAGAGCCGCCTGGGGCAGACACCCTCCCCAGATGCTGTTCTGTTCACGAGGGCTAGTGCTGCACCCCTGTATGCTGCCCAGGACAGCCCTGCTCCGCCCGCACACGCTGGTGGAAATCAGGAAGAGCTTGCCAGCCTTCAGCAGCACCCGCCGTGGGTGTGGGTGTCTGTCGGGACATGAAGAGAGGGTCCGGTTTTGCTGCCTCGTCTTGCTCTCACAAAGTCGATGGTTGGGTCAAGTGGAGTTGGCCCAACAGAATAAACAGCACCGCACCGCCATTCGCACAGACCCCTCTTCCCTTCGCTCCCAGCAGGGGACATCGCACATCTCTACGCGAAACTCAACCTTACTGCTATTCTTTTATTGCTCATCTTCCGCACAGCTCTGCAAGTGTCTGGGAGGCTCTGAGACCCCACAGGGCAGGTTTCTCACCTGGAGCGGGACCCGGCCTTGAACCAGATCCCACCAGCTCCCAGAAGAATCTGGAGCCAGATCCAACCAACCTGCCCAGGAGAGTTTGGAGCCAGGTATGTATCCGAGGCCCACGATACAAACTTTTCCCTAATGACTAGATAGGTACAGGGACTAAAGGCTTAAGAAGGACCCATGCTCCAGGCAGCCCTGGACTACTTGATCTGCAAAACAACCACTGTAAAAAGAGCTGGGAGGTAAAAAGAGGAGGCAGTTTCAATACTGTCTTCCCCCACCCCAGAAGAAACCCCATCAGTCAGTCCATCCAGCTGTGTGGTGTTACCAAAGACTTCAGTGGTGTTTGCCACCTCTTCAGGAAGGCCCATCTGGAGCAAGAGTTTAGAGATAAGGCTGTTGAACTTGCTCTCCGTGGTAGACCAAGGCTCTTCACTTGGGGTCGGGCCTTCGGACGTGACATTTAGCTCCACTGGGTCAAGACAGTAACCTTCCGGTGATCTCTCATAGAGCACGTCCATCAGGTCAATCCCGGCTACTGAGGAGGGGGAGGCACAGGGAATATCCCTGACGAGCTTGTAATTCTCCATCCACTCCTTCAGCCACTCGATGCGGCAGTCGCAGTCCCAGGGGTTGCGGAAGAGGTACAGCCGCCCCAGGAAGTACACCGGCTGGAAGACAGAAAAGGGCAGAGTCGTCAGGTTGTTGCTGTTCAGGTGCAACGCAACCAGGCTGGTGAGGTTTTCAAAAGCCCCTTCTTCAATGTAGTTGATCCTGTTGCGGTCCAGGTAGAGGACCTCCAGCTCCCCCAGGTCCCTGAACCAGGTGTTGGAAACATTCCTGAGGAAATTCCCCCCCAGGTTGAGCATTTTCAGGCACCTCAGACCATCGAAGGAGTTTTCTGGAAGCTCGCTGATCAAATTGTCGTTCAGGTACAGGTATTCCATCTTCTGGCAGCCCTGAAAAGCTCGCTCATGAATGACATTTATCCTGTTGTCCTGCAGATTCAGGTATTTCAGCTTGGTCAGGCCCTGCAGGGAGTTATAGGCTACTGCTTCAATCCTGTTTCTCTCCAGGTAAACATGGGTCAGGTTCTCCATGCCCCTGATGGCACCTGGGATCCTCCGGAAGTTGTTCTGGAAGCAGAAGAGCTCCTGCAGAGCAGGCAGCTCGATGAAGATCCTGTCCGGGATGTTGAAAAGGTTGCAGTCCGCCAGGTCCAGCTTGACCAGCCGTCTGAGGGCACTGAAAGTCCGCGTGTGGAGATAGCGAATGTACTCGTTGTGAGCCATCTTCAACTCGGTCAAGCTGGGCAGCCCCTTGAAAGCCCCCGGGGTGATGAAGGAGATATTGTTGTGGTTAAGCGACAGGGATTTGAGGGAAGGCAAGGTCCCGAAGGCCCTCTCGGAGAGGAACTTGATGCTGTTTTTGTCCAGGTTGATCGAGGAGGCTTCGCAAGGGAACTCGCTAGGGATCTGCCCCAGACCGGCACGATCACAGAGGATGGAGCAGCTCCGCTCCTGGGTGCACACGCAGTTGGCAGGGCAGGACCGCGCGCAGGCCCACACCGCGTGGACGTGCGGGACCCAAAGGATCACTGTCAGAGGAACGCACCATCCCCACGGAGGCGTGGGAGGAGAGAATTGGGATGCATCGTTAGCATATATATTAGTCATGACAGGAAAAAGAAACTACGCTGTCTTTGCCTCCCTTCCAGCCAGGCTAATTGCCACCCGCTACTTGTACACCAGTGCTGACCAAGGAGCTCTCATGAAAGATTCCTAAAAATCTTCTGCCAGGGTTTTTAAACCCTGT